ATATACATATATATACATATATATATATATATATATATATATATATATATATATATATATATATTTATATATATACATATATATACATATATATAGACGGAGCCACCGTAAACAGCGCTTAGAGCTAACCTGACCACAAGTAAAAGTGGTGTAGCAGCGCCGTGCCCAACATGGGATCTTGACCCCTCGTCTCCTGGGTATCTCCACTTTCCCTTATTGGCACGAATCCTCACTCTCTCCTCCCTCGACTGCTTTCTTCTTCGACCTATGCACCGCCGAGAGCGAAGGTACAGGACGACTAGTTTCGGAAATGCATTTAACCTTTCTCCTCATGCCGAGTTTTGCCTGCAGTAATTGTGGAGGCAGATCATAAAATACATGTCTGTTACATGTAGGATTATATCAACCGTAGACTATTGATAACGTTTTCACTCGCTCAATGTTTAATTTCATTATCAAACGGATGGCGGGGGGATAGAAAAGAACGTGTTAGAAAGTTTGAAATAACATCGTAGAAAGTAAGGAATGTAAAAGTTTCTCTTTCTAAACCTCTTTCCTTTCCTCGCATGACTCGCGTTTAGAGACTTTCATGCACCGCCTTGCAAGATGGCCAGCCCTACTAGCAGTGCTTCCCCGGTGGGCTGGGGGAGGAGGTAAGATCTTTGTACCTAGCGTGTAGCTAGGCAGAGTGAGGCATAATGGGAATGGAATGGAAGTTTTTTTTTCTGTGAATACCCAGAGGAATAGGATGGAGATTTTATACTGTTAAGAAATCATCGGCCAAAAATCCAGTGTGTTGTGTCGAGGAAATTGTTTTGCACTTCGGTGTAGTGCCGAATCATGCGTAAGACTCCTATTATAGGTTTGCGAATTCCCTCAAAGCAATAAGAAAAATAAAATAAGTAATGTATACGCACACACACACACACACACACACACACACACACACACACACACACACACACACACACACACACACACACACACACACACACACACACACACACACACATATATACTTATATTTATATAAATATACAAATATATAAATATATATATATATATATATATATATATATATATATATATATATATATATATATATATATATACATACATACATATATTTATATATAAACATATACACACACATATATACAAACACACATACAGATATACATAATACATGTGAGTGCTTCCAATGTGTAACCGAGCGACCGACGGGGCCAGCGACCGGCGGGGATAAATAAGGATAAGTCCGATATGCGAAGCTGTGGACCTCGCTCGGGCTATGGGGGAGCCCGGCCTGTGCCGACGTATGTCGACTCGCTATCAGTGTGTCAGCAGGTGCTGACTCGGGTGAGCTTAGTCCTTACCCACCGTGGTGCCCGGCCACAGCAGTAACCTCCAGGCGACAATTGCAACTTCTCGCGCCTGGGCGGGGCGCGAACCGCCGACCCCTCAGATGAGAGGCCAACACGTTACCACTGTACTAGCCCGGAGGGAGTATCTGCAGGAATACCGTGGCCTGCCATTCGCCTCCGAAGTAGCCCCCCCCCCCCTACTTCCACTTTGTCTCACTGGACGCCAAAGCATCCGCGTTTAACATCCTCATGGTGATAGACCCTTTTCTCGCCAAGAAATCGGGTTTGGACCAGTTGGAACGCGGGCAGGTTACCTACCGAACGCTATGAGGACTCGAACACGCGACCTGGAAAAAAAAAAATACGTGGAACACTTGGCATGGAATGTCCTTTCCCGCGGGAGTTGTCACTTCTATTCATCCCGCCGTAGGTGTCATAAGGGAAGTCGACACTGTGGCGTAAGTGGTTGCGCTCTGAACCGCGGTTGCTTAGGAAGGGCATCCAGGCAGGCAAGAATGGTACTGAAAAGTGACCTCTTCATAATAAATTGAAAGAGGCCTATATCCTGCAGTGGAATAAATTGCTGTTGAACGAACAAACGAAAAAACAATATACATAAATATATATATATATATTTATATATATATATGTATACATATGTATATATATATGTATATATATATATATATATATATATATATATACACACACACACACACAAATATATACATTTATGTATATCTATATCTATCTATCTATCTCTCTGTCTGTCTGTCTCTCTCTCTCTCTCTCTCTCTCTCTCTCTCTCTCTCTCTCTCTCTCTCTCTCTCTCTCTCTCTCTCTCTCTCTCTCTCTCTCTCTCTCTCTCTCTCTCTCTCTCTCTGAGCCTCCGGGCTAGTACAGTGGTAACGTGTCGGCCTCTCATCTGAGGGGTCGGCGGTTCGCGCCCCGCCCAGGCGCGAGAAGTTGCAATTGTCGCCTGGAGGTTACTGCTGTGGCCGGGCACCACAGTGGGTAAGGACTAAGCTCACCCGAGTCAGCACCTGCTGACACACTGATAGCGAGTCGACATACGTCGGCACAGGCCGGGCTCCCCCATAGCCCGGGCGAGGTCCACAGCTTCGCATATCGGACTT